CTACTACTACTACTGCTACTACTACTACTACTACTACTACTACTACTACTACTACTACTAGTCTTCGTGCACCACGTCGCATATGCTTCAATTCGGTCAGCTCAGCAGCGGTGCAGGGATGAATCACCAAAAAGCCTTACTCAAGTCTCTTTTTTTACTTGGTTGGTATAGTGACCACATACTTATAACGTGCAAGAAGTCAGGAGGTCAAACCCCGGATGAACCGGTGGACACGTATCACTGTGAACTCTAACAGGAACAAAGATTTTATCTGATGACTCCGGAATGGATGATTAACTAGGTTGATATCCTCAGAATCGAATACGTTCATCCCTTACGACTTACTTCCACATGATAGCCAATTTTGAAACGCTTACAGAAAAAATATAAATGAAAGCTTATGAGTTCAGGGTGTCCAGGTTGAGGACAGAAATTCCCTGAACAATAACCACTAGTACCATAGGGTGTGTGCGGAAGATGCATAACAAACCAACCGATTGAACACACTGCCCGGCAGACAAACCGCCTCTTTTTGATAATGCGTAAAATCCGTGATCGCATTCCACTCTTATCTAAAAACGCCCTTGAATGTTTTGCTATTTGACCAAAAACATTGTTTGAATGTTTGGTATTCCAAGCCTCCGGGAGGAAGCCAGCCAAGGGGTTGCGCATTACAGTTTACGGATAACGAACCGCAGGGAAATAGTATTGATCAGTTGAGTAAAGTCAAGCTTTATGCACCCGATAGGATGAATTTTCAGCATTTTCGACAAGCTACAATGAGGAAAACGTTAAGCATTGGAAAAATAAGAAATATACATTTATTAAGTGAAAAAATAGATGTGATAAAATCCTAATGTGAGAGATGATTGTTCAAGTCAGCAATAATATTTGCTCAGTTGATCAAGATACGAGCAGAATAAGGAATGATTCTGTTTCGGTGTGTGGTGTTGCGTGCATAAAGAATCCTTAATTTGGAACGCGTACTCGGAGGAGACACCGATACCTTGAGATGGACATGCTGGCAATGCTCTTCTTTTGACGGTATATTGCTGATTAATCTATCACATAAATCATAATGCGTGCTCACAATAAAGTCAACCAAAACGGTCTTTGAAGTATCACTACAGAGGGAAAGAAGTTGAAGAGATCTGGAAAAGAGAATGAAGTCTTTCTCCGTTAGACCGGTAAAAACTACCGGAGACCAGTACAACCAGTGTGGAACAATGCAGGCTGTCACAAATTTAAGAACTACATTTAGGGTGACACCGAGCTTTTAGGTCTAAAAGCGTTGAAGAATAATCTACGAACCCTAGTGTAAATGTTTTCAACATGTTTGGACCGGGAGAGATTATGTGACAAAGTAACTCTGATATATTTGACAGAGTTAGCTTTTGGGATGATATCATCATTAACAGCGATTTCAGGCTGATTACTCAAAAGGGTTTGATAATACGTGTCCATTTTAGGCCTAAAAGAAACATTTAAACATTTATCTACATTGAGCAATAAAAATCGGGGAGTCGGCCAACAGAATGCCGTGCGGCTTAAATTGAATCTGTGTGTGACGAATAGAAAGAATATCTACAGCGGATGGGTGAGAACTGTTCAAATAATAACTTTTCTTTGTGCTCACATCATGAATTCAATTTATTTCTTCCAATAAACTTAACCGCTAACTCTGCGTTTTTCTCCCTGCGTTTCGAGGACGGGAGATTTTGGTCTGCAATCACTAATTTTAACATTTCTATGACGTTTTTTTCGCACGAATGGCTCGGTGGTGATGGATATGTCAGTTAATATTATCTGTCACGGTCACAGAGAGTAATAGAGTTAGAGAAATAGTGTTATCACCGATAATGATATGATAGTGATAATTATATTATTGTTAGTCATAATACTGCTAACATTAACGGTAGTAGTACAAGTGTGAGGTATCACCCACAAATGTGAGTAGTATGTTTCATTTGCGTGAACGAATGTGATAGACGGTTTCTCACAACAAAAAAACAAAACATAACTGAGGGATTTACTGTGTTGAAAATTATAACTACAGAAAATGCGCTTCTATCGCGGGACCGCCTCATTAATTGTTCTGCGTCTTTGTGGGAATCACGATAACCTGTTCCAAATGAGACTTTTTGTTGTTTGTGCACTTATATGTATATTGACATCCTTGCCGTTGCTCGTGATTAACCACTCTTCTTATCCCCGCAGTGTTTTGTGGATGTATACCAGTAGTAGTAGTGATGTGAGATACTACTCACTTGTGAGTACTAGGTAACGCAATTGGTGATTACTTTCGATGATCAAAAATTAAGAATACCAACGAGTGCAAATTGCTGTATCTCAGAGAACAACTATTAATTACTGCGTTCTTTTCCCGTCGTGTGGTCCGGAACTGCGATGGTATGTTTGTGATTAGACTTTTGTGTTATGTATGCCAAATCGGTGATGTCCCACCTGAAAACCTCAATGATCTATTATCCTCGACTAGTACCGCCTTCTCGAATTATAACAGTAGTAGTAGTAGTAGTAGTATCAGTAGTATGTAGTGCTGGTGACCCCGTCGAGTAACTTAGGCATGAACAGGTGGAATGCAGATGGTGCTGATAGTCCGAACGGCATTTGTTTCAACTAGTATTGTTTATTGCCAACCATCAACACCGTTTTCTCTCGATCGCCTTTTTTATTGGTACTTGCCAATATCGGGGACGTAAATCCACAACTGAAAACACTTTCGCGCTTTGTAGTTGGCTAAAATTTCTGCTATTCTCGGGACTGGGACCGGTTTGTTTATAGTTACAGTGTTTGCTGTATCCTTTTGGTCAATATCTCCGCCAGTGGCCCAGCTTGCCCCACTGAAAGTATACGTTCCTGTTCTTCCTAACTCTGCAGCTGATTTCGAGGCCGCCTCTTCTTCTGTCAGATTTTTCAGGGCTGTCGTAACATCCTCTGACGAATTTTGTTTTGGGACTTGGTGAGTCTGTAAAGCCTCCACTTCTCGATCGCTTAACTGCCTCACGACTCCAGTCAGCATTAATACATCCATGGCATGCAGTGCGTTGAAAAGTCACGCCTTTTCCCGTGGATCGTCTGGCAGACTCTCCACAAAACGCTTCGCAATAATTCCGACCGAGCAACCTCGTTAACAGTTGGCAGCGCTCGATCCAGCAGAATGCGCACGGCTACAGCATGCAACTAGGGATCCACGCCAACTCCAAGCTACGCCGTCCTGAAGGTTCGCAACGCCGCCTGGCGGTCAGCCTGGGTGTCAAAACCCGCAATCAGGACGTTCTTTGCGACAGCTCAATCCACCTTTTCAGGGTATGTTCGTGCCACGTCTAATAACACCCGCGCCCGGCCCTTGAGAAGCGCTCGGAGGGCCGTCAACCTACTCCAATCAGTCCGTATCCTCACCAGCTCCGCGACTTCCTCAGACCCCTCCAGAAACGTCCGCATGTCTCCATTCTCGAAAAAGTCGGGCCATGGAACCTTCATCCTGATCCTGGAGACGGCACCAGTTCTTATAATTCCACAAGGCGGTTCCTGATTGGTGAAAGCTTTTATTGCGGATTGCAGTTAGGGTATCAATAATTTGGCATAAATATAACAACATATCTCAGTTTAAAAGTTATCACAATTCCTGATAGCACACAGAATAATGAATATAACGGTCCGTAGTTATGATTTGGAGCACAACAATTCGCTCTAAGTAGTCTTGTTCATTTTTGACCGTGGAAAGAGATCGCGAACGGCATTATTTTGCGTACTACTCACGAATGTGATTAGTATCTCACAACAGTATTATTATTATTAGTAGTAGTAGTAGTAGTAGTAATAGTAGTAGTAGTATTGACAGTGGTCATGGTAGTTGATTTAATTATAGCATTATTGCTGGTGGTGGACAAGTGAACTAGTGTCCACATTAATGAGTAGTGTTTTTTGTACGCATATGAAGAAGCGGTTGGGAGGATTCTTACGGTATTCAACAGTGAACATAAAATCCGGTAGTGGATTAAAGAATTTATTATTTCTATAACAAAAGATGCGAACAGACTGGTCAACTGTCGGGTCACCGATTCAGATTTTTTCGTGAAAAACCATGACATGATAGTTTCAGATTACATATTTCGTTTCGTTCATTCCGATTTACCCACTGCCCGTTGCATTTTTGTAACTATCCATTATCCTCGACCCGGTACTGTTCTATATAAAGATAGTAGGATTAGCAATGGTTCTGGCAAAATCCACGTTTTGAATGGATAGTTTTAGTTACGCCAAACTAATGCTCAAACTTTCGTAGAGACGAGCAACCAAAATGTTTGAAGAATTTCGAGTCATCGGTCCATACTGAAAGACTGCCTAAACTGTAAATGTACTCGTTTCAATACTTTTGAATGAGTAAGTGCATTATTCTCGCACGGTAGCAAACAAATTGTTGACGTAAAAGCCAACAACGAGGTGAAATTAATTACAGTTAGTGGGACCAGGGTTGGCCCTATCTGTCACTCCTTGTTCCATCTTAGCTTATTTTGCTTAAACTATTGAAACATCGGTAATTGTCGAACGTCCGTGAGTTAATGTGGAAACTTATTCATGTCCCGCAGGCCGTTTTCTATCATCCATTGAGCTCTGCCGTTTGTCCGCATGATATCAGACCCCCACCCGGTTATTTTCCTACAAGAACGCGATTATAATTTCATTGAGAAAGAACTCACTGAAAAACATGTGTTCGCCTACAACCGGTTTTCTGGTTACAAAAATGAGTCTATTTTCTGAAATCTCATGGTCTTTTATCATCTTCACCTGTCAATAAAGTGTGCTTTAGACTATGACTGTGATTATGGTCAGTAGCAATGGAGGCGTCGGGGACTGAATACCAAACGACTTTAAAGATATTACTCAAAATGTTTTCTTTTCCCTTCTTTTGTTGACATTTTGTCTGTTCTAATTGAACTCACGCGGAACCCAAGCTGCAACTATAGAGCTGCACGAAAACAAATAGTTTAAATAGATTAAATAGAAAACTCAGATATTTTCCATATCTTTTCTTCTCAGGAAAACTTTACTGTCCTCGTATTGTTTTACCTGTCTGTCTGTTCCAGTCAGTCATTTCTGTGGTCGAATTCTGCAAGTTTCTCTGTCTGTTTCGGTATCATAGCAACCAAATCCAATCACTGATTCTCTTTCGAATTTCAGTGCGACAAAACAATATGAGATTTGCCGAGGAACATGCCACTACAATTACCCTTGAAATAAGGGGAAAATGAGGCTGTCATGAACATTGTAGATAATAAGCATACTTTGATGAACTTCGATGAACTGAATACGAAGAAAAGAAAGACCGTTGAGACGAATCTAGATTATGAACGGAATACTTCTTTTCGCAGCAGTGTTATTCAACTGGTGGACGAATCAACCTATCGAGACACTAGACAGGTGTTTCACCCGTATCAATCATCACCAAACAGGGCTTTTCGTCTACTTCGATATAGTTGACGAATTTATTTTAATCAATACTCCAGCACAATAGTCAGGTTTTCTTATCATTAAATCCTGGTTAGGTACTACACATAAAAAGGTTGTGCGGCGTTGTACACACAACTAAAGTGAACTAGCTTGGTCAGCCATTTGATGGTCAGTAGGTAGAATGTTTTCATTCTGTCCAACAGTAAATTATCGATTTGATAGGTGGACAGGAAAAACAGAAATAATACTAATAGTAAAAAATCGTATTCCCTTCAAATGTCATTAAAAGTTCCAGTTATTTTCACTTTGATTTGCTGAGCTACCTACACCAATGCTTCTTAGCATCGGTTCAATAGTACTTTTACCGGCAAATGCGGTTTCACTTCTTGCACACGGATCTCCCTACCTGAATATATTAGGATAATGCAGGTGATCATTTTATCCGAGATTTAGTGGCCACTTTAAACCGGAGTGTGTTGTATTGCATTATATTGTATTGTACGGAAGCTTTAGTGAATTAAATACAAACTTTAAGCCAATTCCGGTAAAACAGGCGAGGGAGGAAAGCGGGATGCAATATGTGCAAAAATATGAGCTAACTGCAAAGAGCATTAGAACGCTTACAACGCAAACTTTCCTTGTCGGTCAGCAACCGGCCAAGGTACGGTACCAAAGAGTTTCTGTATGCAGATATCCAAGATGCGATAGAACGGATGAAGGGGTGGGATTTGCATGCACACAGGTAAATGTGCAAAGAATGGGTACAATCAGAAAGGATATTGTGGGCAAACTTCAAGCACGTATCAATATAAGCAAAAACGATATTTTCAATCAGAACAAATACCGGAACTTGGAAAACATGGCTGATCACCAAAAAGCCACGCCACAGCAATTTGAAATCAGCATTCAGTATACCAGGGAAAATTACAGTCGAGCAGTAGAGAGGCATTCAGTTTCAGTTTAAACAACCATAAGGCATGCAATTTAGATCAACGCTATTGGTTGCTGTCATTTGACTGCCCATTTGGATGAACAATAGAAGGAAAATAGGAATGTGGAAAGTAGGATCGAAGAGAAAATTGAAAAGTTCAGTGGACTAATGATGCAGAGAAATTGAGAAGAAGCACAAACGCCACCGTGTGCGACACCCAGCCGTATCACTCAGAGTCTCCAACCATCGGTTAGGATCATCCCGAGGTTCCTAGCCAGGGAGCCTAACAGGACTCCTGGTTAGGGTTTTCATATCCTCGTACCAGGTCTAGGGTTGATCACCCTTGAATTTCTTCCACTCACTACTTGCCCCGGCGAACGTCGCTCGCCGTGGTAACCTATCAGGTGGCATGCGTAACACATGCCCCAACCTAAGTAATCTATGAAGATCAACCACTTGCTCCAATGGGCGACCGCATTTACCCAAAACTCGGTGCCTAACCTCAGCAGTAATCGTCCGGCTGCCTCACCAGATTCATGCAATGCTGCCTAGACAGCGGTGTTCAAACACCGACAGCTAGTCTTTGCCATGTTTCCCCAATGACCGTATAGCAGAACTGGCCGCACTACCGCGACATACACTAGAACATCCATAGAGAACCGGATGTCGCGACGGCGCCGCAGATGTCTCAACTTGACAAATGCCAATCGAGCCTTCTATATGCAAGCAGAAACTTTATTCGCGATGCCTCCACCAGGTGAGATGTAGCTGTCTAAATAACAAAACTTATCCACTTGCTCCATTACTTCCCCAGTTAGAGTGAGGCTCGGTGCTGGACCGACCCAGTCTGGCAGTAACATTTCGCAATTTCAAGGTGCAAAACGCATACCGAACATGGACACACTGGCATTCAAGCTGTCCTAAAAAGCTGGCAACTTATCTGCATCTTCACTTAGTAGCAAACTGTCGTCTGTATGCTGTAGATCAAACAGTCTGCCAGCTGGGAGTAAATCGATACCACTTTCCTCGCACAACAACAGGGCTGTTTCCATGATCAAATCTATAACAAAATTGAATGGAAAAGGTGAGAGAGGGCAACCCTGACGAGCACCACTTTCCGTAGTGAACTCGGGCGGAAAAGTGCCGTAAGCCCGGACTCGACTTAGGCCATTAGTATAGACCGATCGTAATATTGAAATTAACTTCTCGGGCACACCTTTCGGAGAAAAACAGCGCCAGAGTTTAGAGTGGTCGACTGAGTCGAAAGACGCTTTCGAATCGAGAAAGATAGAGATGGCACGTATAAGAAAGTAATGTCAATGCTCCAGAGTTTGGTGGGGAGTGAAGATGTGGTCGATACAATCTCGACCAGACTTAAAACCAGCCTGGTTCTCACGCGTGTCCTTTTCACGTGCGGCTGATAATCGATGGAGTATGATACTGGCGAGAAGTTTAGAAGCAATGTTGATTTAGGTAATTGCTCTGTGGTTTTCACAGGTGGACCTGTCACCTTTCTTGTAAATCGGTACGATGACCAATTGACACCATTCAGCTAGAATCTGTTCCCTCTCGCACACTGAGCTCAGGAGGTTTGTTAATTCCGAAACCAAGGCTGAATCCCCANGTATAGACCGATC